AGGTCAGGAATGGAAGCCCAGAAATTGGAGTCATTGATATGGTGATTAAAACAATGAACATGAAAGGCAGTACCACAGGTCATGTGAAGGACAACACAACAGTATTCCACACATCCAATCCCCTGGTAATATAGACTGAAGCCACTTCTATTTAAATGTAAATATTTGGTTAATTTGAAGATGTTTCTAACACCACTTCCATTCAAGCCTGCATTTCTCCCTATACATTTCAAGTTACAGGGTAACTTGTAACTGGACAAGGGAAGGGTCGCCATGAACTGATAATTCTCCATACATTTTCCAGAGATAAATTTCTTTCAAGATTCAGTTGGAGAAAGGCACTTATCTGTTTTTTCTGAGGTTGTGGTAAATATTTGCACTACATATGTGACCTTTTCAGGTGAAACATCTATAAGAATATGATAATTATCTGTTTGCATGAATGAATACTAAATATGTTTTGTCGAAGGCTTTCATGGCTGGAATCACTAAGTTCTTATGGGTTTTTTCGGGCTATATGGCCATGTTCTAGAGGCATTTCTCCTGACGTTTCGCCTGCATCTATGGCAAGCATAGATCCTCACCTCTGAGGATGCTTGCCATAGATGCAGGCGAAACGTCAGGAGAAATGCCTCTAGAACATGGCCATATAGCCCGAAAAAACCCACAAGAACTTACTAAATATGTCGTCGAAGGCTTTCATGGTCAGAAGCACTGAGTTGCTGCGTTTTCCAGGGTGTATGGCCATGTTTCAGAATCATTGTCTCCTGACATTTCACCCACATCTATGGCAGGCATCCTCAGAGGTTGTGAGGTCTGCTGGAAACTAGGCAAGCAGAGTTTATATATCTCTGGAATGTCCAGGATGAGACTTGCCTGCTTGAGGCAGGTGTGAATGTTGCAATTGGCCACCTTGTTCAGCATTTAATAGCCTTGCAGCTATTAAAGCCTGGCTGGTTGCTGCCTGGGGGATCCTATGTTGGAAGGTGCTCGCTGGCCTTGATTGATTCTTGTCTGGAATTCTCCTGATTTTTGAGTGCTGCTCTTTATCTACTGTCTTGATTTCTCATGTTCAGATGGAATCTCCTTTCTTGTAGTTTGAAGCCATTGTTTTGCGTCCTAGTCTCCAGGGCAGCAGAAATCAAGCTTGCTCCCTCCTCCCTATGACTTCCTCTCACATATTTATACATAGCTGTCATGTCTCCTCTCAGCCTTCTCTTCTTCAGGTTAAACATGCCCAGCTCTTTAAGCCACTCCTCATAGGGCTTGTTCTCCAGACCCTGGATCATTTTAGTCGCCCTCCTTTGGACAAATTCCAGCTTGTAAATATCTCTCTTCAATTGTGGTGCCCAGAATTGGACACAATATTCAAGGTGTGGCCTAACTAAGGCGGAATAGAGCATGGGTAGCATGACTTCCCTAGATCTAGACACTATGCTCCTATTGATGCAGGCCAAAATCCCATTGGCTTTTTTTGCTGCCGCATCACATTGTTGGCTCATGTTTATCGTTGTCCACGAGGACTCCAAGCTCTTTTTCACAGATGGTAACTACTGGATGGCCCATGTTCTGTATCAGAAAGTAGAGCTGATGTGGTCTATCCAATTATTTTTTCTGAATCAGCACCCCAAATAACCAAAGCGAATCTAAAGTTGATTTGTAACACGGACCACTCACCAACATTGATGGTCAAGTGGTTCCAGGTCAAATATCTAGTGCTGTAGATAACAAGTGACAACAACAATCAAAGCCATACATCCCCCATGGAAGACACGCAGTGACAAGGATACAAAGGCAGGGAATCTGCCAAGGCGGCAATTAGGGCCATAAAGCAGAAGAGACTCCGAAAGGGAAGAAGAGACCAAATCCGATCAACTTTTCTGTGCCGCAACTTCCAAGTCGCCCAGATTTCTGTGTGCCTGGGAGGGAGTCTCTCATTTGGTGTCAGCCATTGATTGAGGTTCTGGGTTTAAGCCTGCCACTTTTGGACTCTCGCTGGGGTGTTCCAGCGAGTGTCTCTGTAGATCTAAGAAAACTATTTCTTGATTTAAGTCATTGACGTGCTGGCTGATACCCAAACAGGGGATGAGCTGGAGATGTCACTGCCTTGGTCCTTTCACTATTGGCTGCTACTTCCCGGCGGATGTCAGGTGGTGCAATACAGGCTAAACTGTAAGTTTTATGGATGAGCAGATGGCCTATGTTCTGTATCGAATTTTTCTGAATCAGCAGCCCTAATAACCAAACCGAATCTAAAGTTGATCCAAAGCTGATTTGTAACAGGGGCCACTCGCGAACATTGATGGTCAAGTGGTTCCAGGTCAAATATCTACTGCTGTAGATATTTGTCATCTCTCAAAGTAGGTAGCAAGAAAGGAGATTCCATCTGAACACGAGGAAGAACTTCCTGACTGTGAGAGCCATTCAGCAGTGGAACTCTCTGCCCCGGAGTGTGGTGGAGGCTCCTTCTTTGGAAGCTTGTAATCAGAGGCTGGATGGCCATCTGTCAGGGGTTCTTTGAATACAATATTCCTGCTTCTTGGTAGGGAGTTGGACTGGGGTCTCTTCCAACTCTATGATTTTAAGGGACAACAACAATGAAAGCTATAGGATGGTTGTAGTTTTTTTCAGGCTATATGGCCATGGTCTAGAGCAGGAGTCCTCAAACTAAGGCCTGGGGGCCAGATGCGAACCTCCAAGGTCATTTACCCGGCCCTCGCTCAGGGCCAACGTAAGTCTGAAACTACTTGAAAGCACTCAACAGCAACAATCCTCTCATCAGCCAAAAGCAGGCCCACACTTCCCACTGTAATATTAATAAGTTTATATTTGTTAAAATTGTTATTTATTTTAATTATTCTATTATGTTTAATTGTTTTTTGCACTACAAATAAGATGTAGTGGAATTCATTCATTTTTTAAAAAAATTATAATTCACCCTCCAACAGTTTGAGGGACTGTGACCTAGCCCTCTGTTTAAAATGTTTGAGGACCCCCTGGTCTAGAGGCATTCTTTCCTGACATTTCGCCTGCATCTATGGCAAGCATCCTCAGAGGTAGTGAGGTCTGTTGGAAGTAGGAAAAAGGCAGGCATGTAGCTGGGAAGGGGGGGGGTTGGGCTCCCCCCTTGAAATTCTCATGGTGGTTCATGAAAAGGCCTTACTGGTGCATTATTTAAACTGTTATGTTTATTCATATCATGATTTGATCACTATGCTCAATATATCCCATATGCATGGGGGTATTGGGGTAACGATACAAAAGGTTTGCTAGGGTGGACCCTCTTTCACTCAGACTCAGTCCACCCCCCCTCCCCCCGAATTGAAATCCTGGCTACGGGCCTGGAAAAAGGGTTTATATATCTGTGGAATGACCAGGATGGGACAAAGGACTCTTGTCTGCTGGAGCTAGGTGTGAATGTTTCAACTGACCACCTTGATTAGCATATAATGGCCTGAACAAAATCTGGCTACCAATATTAAAAAAACTCTAAAATTACAACAGCACAACAGAGAGGAAACAAACAAGGACATCTAATCACCTCTCAACAAAAGATTGCTCTAGGCACTGTCAGGCCATTATATGCTAATCAAGGTGGTCAGTTGAAACATTCACATTAGATGCCAAAAGTATGACAGGTTGTATCGAATAATATGTATTTGCTGTAAAACAAACAATGTATAACAAATGTATTATGATAAAATAATTAAAATAATAATAATAATTTAAAAAAAGAAACATTCACACCTAGCTCCAGCAGACAAGAGTCCTTTGTCCCACCCTGGTCATTCTACAGATATATAAACCCTTTGTCCTACTTCCAACAGACCTCACTACCTCTGAGGATGCTTGCCATAGATGCAGGTGAAACATCAGGAGAGAATGCCTCTAGACCATTATTTATTTATTTTATTTACTTTGCTTGTATACCGCAGTTTCTCAGCCCATAGGCGACTCAACGCGGTTCACAACATAGCAAAAACAGTCATAACAAAATAGCAATAAACGATTTAAAAACCATGAAAGCACAAAATACAGTAGTGGCACATCAATAACAACACAACGTCTCGTAACTAGAATCGTGATCCAATTCGTCATCTATAATTCCGATCCTATATTCATCATATTCATTGCACTGTTTATCTGAATGCCTGTTCAAACAGCCAGGTTTTTAGCTTTTTTCGAAACACCATTAACGTCGGAGCTGATCTTATGTCCATGGGAAGGGTGTTCCACAGCCGAGGGGCCACCACAGAGAAGGCCCTGTCCCTTGTTCCCGCCAGCCGTGGTTGTGATGCAGGCGGGATCGAGAGCAGGGCCTCCCCAGAAGATCTTAGAGTCCTGGTGGGTTCGTAGGCAGAGATACGTTCGGATAGGTAGCTTGGGCCAGAACCGTTTAGGGCTTTAAAGGCCAACGCCAGCACTTTGAATTGAGCCCGGTAGCAGATCCGCAGCCAGTGGAGCTGGTGCAGCAGAGAAGTTGTGTGCTCCCTGCGCTCCGCTCCTGTTAGTATCATGGCTGCCGAGCGTTGGACTAGCTGGAGCTTTCGAGCCGTCTTCAAAGGCAACCCCACGTAGAGAGCGTTGCAGTAGTCTAGGCGGGATGTAACCATGGCCATATAGCCCGAAAAAACCTACAACAACCCAGTGATTCCGGCCATGAAAGCCTTAGACAATAAATCAAAGCTATACATCCCACATGGAAGAATACAAAGGCAGGGAAGCTGCCGAGGCGGCGACTGGGGCCATAACGCAGAAGAGACTCCGAAAGGGAAGAAGAGACCAAATCCGATCAACTTTTTCTGTGCCGCGCGTTCTGCGCATGCGCGCCCAACGGCCGGCGGCGCATGCGCGCTGCGGCCCGGCTCGTCGGTTGAGTAAGGCGGGCTGCGATTGGCCGCGGCAGCGACGGCGAGCGAGGCCGAGTGTGTGAGGCGCAGTGACGGAAGGAAGGCAGGCAGGAAAGCAGGCAGGCAGGCGAGAGCGGGGGGCCAATGGCGGAGAGATGGTACAGGCCCCTGTTGCAGGAGTAGTCGACACCGTCCCGGCGGCTCCCAGGAAGCGGCGGCGAAGGAGGCGGCGAAGGAGGAGGCCGCAGACTCTGCCGGGAGGCCTCGACGCCGGCGCCTTCACGCGGAGAAGGAGCAGCCCAGGCCCGGGGGCGTCGCCCGAAGACGGCGAGCGAGCAAGGAAGGGGGAAGGCGGCGGAGGCGCCCCGAGAGTGACGTGCGCGCCAGGCCGGGCCCTCTCCTCCTCCTCCTCTTCCTCCTCAAGGCGGCCTTCCTCGCTCACTTCTTCCTTTTTTTGAAAAACAAACCTCATAATTTCCTCCTTCGCGTCACTGGGCCTTGCTGAGGTAAGTCCTGTGAGGCAGAGGAGCGGGGAGAGGCCCAGCCAACTTCCTCAGGCCTTGCCTTGCTTTGGGAGGCAAAAGACGACTGTCTTTCTCACTCTTACGCAAACGACACTCTCTCGGCCTCAGAGGGAGGCCCAGACTCCCCCTCCCCCCAACAAATACTGTCTTATGAAAGGCTCGGGCCTAGGAAGCCTCTCCGGCCTCTTCTACACTGCCATACAATATCCAGATTGTCTGCTTTGAACTACCAGTGTAGACTCATATAATCCACTTTATCTGATTTGATAATCTAGATCAGGGGTCCTCAAACTTTTTAAACAGAGGGCCAGGTCACAGTCCCTCAAACTGTTGGAGGGCCGGATTATAATTTGAAAAAGAAAACCATGAATGAATCCCTATGCACACTGCACATTATTATTATTATTATTATTATTATTATTATTATTATTATTATTAAATTTATTTGTACCCCGAGGACTWCTTTGTTGACAGTAGGATTCATATATTTTAGTTTGGAAAATAATATTGCATAGTAGTTATTAATATACGTAATTCCTCGAGTTTACATATTGACAGTCACTGTAGTGAGTATTGCATGAAGGAAAATTATTACAGTATGATCTTGGTTTATGATTTAGAGTTCGCACAGAGATATTTACTGTTTTCTTTGCTGTCACCAACATTTAGCAATTTATTATATGAAAAGGTTAGCTAACCCTTAGCAAGCAAGGTGAACCCAAGACTTCTTAGTATTATTATTATTATTATTATTATTATTAACTTTATTTGTACCCCACTAGAATCTCCCGAAGGACTCGATGCGGCTTACAAAGGCCAAGGCCTCAATAAAAACAACAACATAATAATACACATAACATTATAAAGCAAATCAAAAAATTAAGCAAAACAGTAAACAAAAACAATACATCATAACACAATAAAACTAGGGCCTAAAACTAGGACCGGGCCAAATGTAATGGGTACAGATCAAAAGTGCTGAGTATGACAGGTGAAATATAGGATTTAGGGTGAGTGCAATGTGCAGATGATCTTAAATCTCTGATAAAGTGCTTCTGGGACATAATGCTAGGGTTTCCTATTCTGGAAAGGCACACCAGAACAGCCAGGGCTTCAAACTCTTCCTAAAGACTGCCAATGTAGGGGCTAGTCTGATGTCCTTGGGGAGGGTGTTCCAAAGTCGGGTGACACAGATCTTATTTGTAATGCAAAAACCACTTAAAAACAATACAATAATTAAAATGAGGAACAATTTTAACAAATATAAATGTATTAGTATTTCAATGGGAAGTGTGTGCCTGCTTTTGGCTGATGAGATAGGATTGTTGTTGTGTGCTTTCAAGCCATTTCAGACTTAGGTTGACCCTGGGCCAGGTAAATGACCTTGGAGGGCCGCATTCGGCCCCCGGGCCTTAGTTTGGGGACCCCTGATCTAGATTATATGGCAGTGTAGAAGGGGCCTAGGTGATTGTCAGAAAGCAGGAGCACGAGGCTGGGAGTTTGAAGGGGGTGTTGGTTTTGTTCCCCCCCCCTTTCCCGGTTGGATCATTTCGAGGCCTTTCTGCGTCCTCCTTGGTGACTTAGTCAGGCTCCTTCCACACAGTTGTCTAAAATCCACGTTGAACTGGATTATATTGCAGTGTGGACTCAGGGCCCTTCCACACAGCCATATAACCCAGAACCCAGCCACCTACAGAATACTGATCATGGAAGACTATCCTACTTGTCCAACGAGGGATTGCCTAAGTAAGTAAGTATAGCCCAGAATATCAAGGCAGAAAATCCAACAATATCGTCTTTGAACCGGGTTATCTGAGGGCCCTTCCAGGTAGCCCCTATATCCCAGGATCTGATCCCAGGTTTTCTGCTTTAAACTGGATTATATGAGTCAGCACTGCCAGATAATTAGGGATAAATAGAAAACCTGGGATCAGATCCTGGGATAAGGGGCCATCTGGAAGAGCCCTTAGTCCACACTACCATATATTCCAGTTCATAGTAGAAAATGTGGGATTTTATTCAACTGTGAGAAAGGGGCTTCAGACAGTCCACTTCAAGGTAGATATTGTGGATTATCTGCCTTGATATTCTGAGTTATATGGTTGTGTGGAAGGACCCTTGGTGATCGGGCCTCCTTTTTGGTGACTTCTGAAAGGACCGTGCTGAGAGAATTGTGAGAGATGGCTGTGCACTTTCCTTGGGGTTAACTTGAAAGGAAGGGAAGGGTTGAGGTAATTGCTTGCCCTCCTAGGGACCTTCTATACAGCCATATAACACAGAATATCAAGGCAGAAAATCCCACAATATCTGCTTTGAACTGGGTTATCTGAGTCTGACCTGCTATATAACCCAGTTCAGTGTGGATTTTATACAGCTGTGTGGAAGGGGCTCTAGAGAAACCCCTTGTCCCCCTTTTTCTCCCCTCCTCTTTACTTCATTTCCTTTTCCACGGGGCTCTTGGGGAAAGAGTTGATTCCAGGTTGGAGCTCGGCAGGATCAGGTGGATCGTAATCTAGGGGAAGAGGCGTTGACTTGTAAGAGCCCAGGCCTCTCTCGCCTCTTGATGTGACGTTTCTCCTGGAGTCACCCATTTCAAATCTGACCTGGGCTTTTTGTTTTGTTTTTGTTCGTAGAAGTCTAGCAAAGGAAAGTGCCTCTCCCCACTTCCTCATTGTTCAGGGAGACCCCCCAGATCGGATGCAGTTTCTGTGTTTATTCCTTGGCTCTTTCTAGTTCCAGTGGAGGAAAGTGTCCAGATCTACCATTAGCATAGGTTTCTTTTTTTAAAAATTTTTTGTTAAAAATCCGGATCACATGTGTCAAACTCATGAATTGTGGACCGAATCCAGCCTGCCATGCCACTTTCTCTGGCCCTCCAGATGCTGGACTACAACTCCTGTATTCCTCATCATCAGAGACATCATGTCTAGAGCTGATGAAAGTTGTGATCCAGTAACATCTGGAAGGCTGCAATTTGTTCTTTTTAGTAACAGACAAGCTGGAAGGTGTCCAGAGGAGAGTAACTGAAATGATGAAAAGATCTGGAGACCATGCCCCATGAGGAACATCTTAAAGAACTGGGCATGAAGACCATCTTTATGAACTCGGCATGTTTAGTCTGCAGAAGGGAAGGTTGAGAGGAGACCTGATGTCCATGTATAAATATTGAAAAGATGCCATAAGGAAGATGGGGCAGACTTGTTTTCTGCTGCCCTGGAAACAAGGACTCTGACAATGGGTTCAAAATACAAGAACGGAGATTCTACCTGAATATTAGGAAGAACTTCCTAACCATAAGAGATATTCAGCAATGCAGCTCTCTGCCCCAGAATCTGCTTCCCTGGAAGCTTTTAATCAGAGGCTGCATGACCATCTGACAGAGGAAATTTAATTGTGCTTTTCCTTCATGAGAGGGGGTTGTACTAGATGTCTCTTCCAACTCTATTATTGTATGATTCTAGTAGGATAGTGGGCTTTGAATTTAGATATAAGCATTTGGATGTGATGTCTGACTTTAAAATGTCCTTTAATCTTTCCCCAACCTCCCAGCCTCAAGTGCTGTTGGATTGCAATTTCTATTGTCCCTAGTCCTCATGGCAGGTAATAAAAAGTGATGTGAATTATCCTTCAATAACATCCGGGACCCAAAGTCGGTAAGAACTAAAGAGCACTGACCACTATGTAAGAAAAATATACACACACACACACACACACACACACACACACAGGGTGTCTGTAGAGTCTCTTTACCATGTACCATTTTTAAATGATAAAAAGATTTTACCAACACCCTGTATATAGATGACCCTTGTGTGCACGGATTCTCCATCGTGGATTTAACAGCCCCTTGAAGGCAACTGTAAGGCTGCTCTGGCTCTCAATGACAATTATTTTGACCAACCCTGTTCTAGATTATTGGCTTCATATTCCTCCTATTTCCTGCCATTATAAACCCATCAACGATTCAGGTATTCCCACAGGCCACTAGGTAGGAGCAGTGCTAGAAAATAAATTATTAACATACCCAAGGCATGCTCACTTTAAAATGACTGATCAGGTGGAATCAACTCTCATTACAGGATTTAAGTAAAGCGTCTAAGTATAATATCATTAATTCAAGCATGGTGTACTCAGCTTTAATGGTCTTTCACCCCCTAGTTTCACTTGATAACACTGGCCAATTTTGGTGCCTCAAATGTTAGACCTGCATCTCAGTATGATTGATCTGCTGATTCCCTATAAACACTAAATTTTGAGATACAATACATATACCATATAAGTCACCATTTGCTAGCCCATAGAAAACCATGACAACCATATATAAGAAACTAGTGCTGATGTGGTCTATCCAATGCAATTTTCTGAATCAGCTCCCCAGATAATGCCAGGAACGGGCCTAAAATGCCTGTAAGCTGCATCGAGTCCTTCGGGAGATGCTAGCGGGGTACAAATAAAGTTTAATAATAATAATAATAAAAACCAAGAAAAAAGGAGTTTGACACCATTTAAACTTCTGTGGCTTAATGCAATACAGGCCTGGAAGTTGTAGTTTGGTGACGTATCAGCATTATTTCACAAAGACGGCTACTCACCTTTTACCATTACAACTGCCATGATTTTATATTATTGGACCATAACAGTTAAAAGTTGGGTCAAACTGAGTTAATTCTAGAATGTCGCTGTAGCCTCTGTGGCCAGCAGCATGGAAGAGTTAGATTGAAAAGGAAACTGTAAATTTAAAACATTTACACAAGAAGTGCAAATGAAAAGTTACAGTAAGATCAATGTGGGATATGTTCCAAGAGCTTCATGGATGCATTAAAACATGGGGAATAGAGAATCAACGTATGTTTTGACTATGCAGGTAGCCCTCAAGTTATACACATACACACACACACAAGCTTTGGATAGCAGAGGGAAGGGTTAACACCCTGTTTTGCTGTCTGTGTCCTGTTCAGAAGATTTCTACCCACTTTCTGTCCCTGTGATAACTGGATTTTGAAAACTTTGGGTTTTGTGGAAACAGATTCGTGAGAAAGCTTCAGATGACACCTTTTCATCATGGCCACTCTTTCAGGAGTGAATTTCCCTTCAAACGGGTAGATTTCTCTCACTTCCTGTTGTCTCACACCTGTTCTTAACTATGAGTTGTCTGTAATTAGGCTGTTTGTAACTTGGAAACTTCCTGTATATGATGTGGAAGCAAACCAAAGAATAGCTGTCAGAAGGCCCACAAATACTTCTGGGGAATTTTTTTTGAGCATGAAGCTTTGCATATTGAGTCCTGCATGTAAGTGTGTTCATAGTAGTCTGTTAATAGACTGAACTTTTTCTGTTCTTTTGTTAAATACTGCAGTTAATCTGCAAATATATAAAGAATGTTTATACTATGTATTGTCGAAGGCTTTCATGGCCGGAATCACTGGGTTGCACTAACAAGACACATAAAAAAAAACTGCCAGGCCATCAAATGCTAATCAAGGTGGTCAGTTGGAACATTCATACCTAGCTCCAGCAGACAAGAGTTCTTTGTCCCACCCTGGTCATTCCACAGATATATAAACCCTATTTTTCTAGTTCCAACAGACTTCGCTACCTCTGAGGATGCTTACCATAGATGCAGGCGAAACGTCAGGAGAAAATGCCTCTAGAACAGTGGTTCTCAACCTGTGGGTCCCCAGATGTTTTGACCTTCAACTCCCAGAAATCCTAACAGCTGGTAAACTGGCTGGGATTTCTGGGAATTGTAGGCCAAAACCTACAGGTTGAGAACCACTTCTCTAGAACATGGCTATATAGCCTGAAAAAACCCACAACAACTCAATGTTTGCTAATATTTGTGCATTCCTATCAAATATTAATTGCAAAATGGTAGGGGCTCTTATTTTAAAAAACAAACTTTAAAAATATCCAGACAAAAAAATCTTTTAATAAAGATTACTGATTACATAATTCAATTTTTAGCACAGGGCATGTATTGAGAGGTTTTATCCTACCTTGAGGAGCTACATGATAGTGATATTCTTGGTTAGGTACACTACAAAATAAAGCAGAATTATTAGTTTGTAAGGATTTTTTTTCGTAGTTTCCACTTAATGAAATTTCTGGCTTCTTCTTCATGACACACCAGTATTAAGTCGTGTGTTTTACACGCTGTAACATAGTGCTTTGAAGTGTTTGTGGTTGTTATGGCAAATCATTGATTCAACTTGTATTTTGTAAAAATGTTATTTGATTTTATTTTTCCTCACAAATAACAAGATGGGAAATAAATGTAAGCAAATATATTTCTCAGACTCATCACTTGAGTGCAAAAAGAAAAGTTAATGCTAAAAACAATATGAAACTCATTATCTTTAATATCTTACATATAAATTATGTACATATATATTCTTTTTTGGATACATATATGTTGGTATATTCTATTCAGATTTTTTATAGACATTGTATTGAATTATATCTTGCTATGCATAAAGCAACTTTGGCATATGGCAACATCTAGGTTCTTTCTGGCAATAAGCAGTTTTATTACTAAATCAGATATCCATTCTAAATACTTAAAAAAACCTTTTGCAACTTTTGGTTTTATCACATATGGTTTTATCACATATTTTAAAGCTTATAGATTTAACTGAGGTTTCATATGCTGATTATTTCCCTGTAATAGTATAGTCTGTTCATTTGTCATGGTTTTGATTTTTTTTTTAAAAAAACATCCTTTGTATTAATATTTAATATTGTCAGTGTTGCTTTTCAAAGTAAACCTGCTTATCTGGAATGGGGAATCATAACTTGTAAGGCTATTGGTTTTTTTTTTCCTATTTCAGTTTCTGATAAGCCAAGTATTTAAGTAGTTGCTTTCATATAGCAATGTATGTGGAAAACATACTTTCTTTTTGCCATGGAATCTGAGGTTTCAGTTCTAATGGGGTCAGCCTGAATCTTGTAAAGGTTATTTGTGAGTTTTAGGCATTTATTTCCTCTCAGTGTATGTGTGCTGGGAGAGTTCTTGTCATCTTAGGGTGCATCTACATTATAGAATTAATGCAGTTTGAAACTACTTTAACTACCATGGCTCAGTGCAATGGAATCAGGAGAATTGTAACTTTACAAGAACTTTAGCTGTCTCTGCAAAAAAGCTCTGATGCTTTATCAAACTACAAATCCCAGGTTTCCATAGCATTGAGCCATGTTAGTTAAATTGGTGTCAAACTGCATTAATTCTATAGTGTAAATGCATCCTCAGTTTTGGTCAGTTTGAGTTGGTTTCTCTCTTTTTTGGTACTAGGGAAGTGTGGTTGATGATTTGGATCCCTCGTTCCTAAGTAGGCTGTGGTCAAGGTGCTGCCACAGAACAGCATCGGTATCATTCACTCTTCAGAGAGAATAGGTTAGCGTGCTGTAAAACTTGCAATCTTTTTAGAAACTACCCTGCTTTGGCACAATTTATAACTTGAAAGATATCAAACAACTGTAATCATTATTAGAAAGTAATTTCTGCTTGCTGTTATATTTTGATCTTTTCTTGTATATATTCTAAAATGTTTTTTTCTTTCTTTCAACAGAGAATATGAAACAGGAGTCAAAATGACATCCAGGTTTGGGAAGACATACAGCAGGAAAGGGGGCAATGGCAGTTCAAAGTTTGATGAAGTTTTTTCCAACAAACGGACCACTCTTAGTACAAAATGGGGAGAAACGACCTTTATGGCCAAGCTAGGACAGAAGAGGCCCAACATCAAGCCAGACATTTCTGAAGTTCCTAAAAAACCCAAATTAGAAGAGGAAATAATAGAAGATCCATTTGGATTTGACAGCGATGAAGAATCTCTGCCAGTATCTTCAAAGAATGTGTCACAAGCTAAAGGATCCTCTCAGTTGGAGTCTGTTGAAGCATCTCACTCTGGAGACTTCACTTCTGCACTTGAATCTAATAGCAAAATTATTCAGCCAATCAATGAAGATGTGTTGTCTATCAAATGTGTGTCTTTGGGTAATATAGTACACAGCTTCAAAGAGAAGAACTCGAATAGAAAAATGGATGATGGTGAAATCAAAAGCAGCAGTGCTTTTCCTGTAATTGCAGGTATGGTTGGATAATATAGTCATGTTGAGAGTTAATATCTTAACTAGATTCAGTTACTTGTTTCTGACCCACTGCTCAAGTTTCTCCATGACCTGGTTGTTTGGGGTAAGGAGGAGACTTTGGGAAATGTCTTCTGTGTGTATTTTTGTGTTTGGTCAAATTTCTTTTCACTTTGTCTGAATCTAATGACCATCTTAATACTAAAACAACAAGTAGTATTTAAAAATAAATAAAAGGGTTAAATAGATAAAATAGAATTGAGTATTTCTGAGTTGGGACATAATAATATGTTGGATTTATTGTTCATAGACCACCTAAAACAACTAGGTGCGTTATAGATAAATCCTATTTAGTGAGTAAAAGATCCAACATAACATTTCTCAGCCTTGAATCACATATTCAGAGAAAGGTGAAATGCAAATGAAATAGGAGGATATATGGCATATATTTCAAGTTTGCATTCAAGTTCAAGGCTTCTTACAGACTTCACAACTCTTGACTAGACCACTAAATTCATGTGACAGCTACTTTTGTGTATAGAATTGAAAGGGATTATGGGACACAGACACAACTATAAGATTCTCGGACATGTTGTCACTCTTTTAATCCTAGTTTTCTAAAGTTGCCTCTGAAAGTGTCAGAACCCATCTGTTGAAAAGACTCACTTGTCCCTCTAAATATTTGTATATACTTCAAACAACTGAGGCTGTTTTGGCCAATTTAGAGATTCAGTGCCAATATCTCCAGTGCTGATTTTTGGAGTAGCATCTCTTTCTGTGGCCATCTTACCTTGATGGATATTAACAAAGTTCAGTGGTGCATTCCTTTCTGTGTTCTAAATACCATATTATTTCATAGTGTAGTCATCCCTCTGCATTCATTGGGGTTAGGGGTAGGTGTGGGAAAAAAGTGAATAAAAACAGTATTTCATTGTGACGTGACTATGATGATAGATGTTGGCCATAGAATTGCTCTGGATGACATATAAATGCCTAGATACAGATTGTCTAGGAGTCTCTTCGTCTTTCAACATGTGGTCAGTTTCCAGTGGAATTTGATTATAGAGTTGTGCTGGAAGACTTAGAGATTCCTAGAGTATATATTAATTAAATCTGTTATAGTCAAACCCACAAAAATGAAATCTGTAAATGTGGAGGGCTGACTGTATGTTGCTCAGAACATATATTTGTGAGACTTTATAGGTGATCAGATCTCTGCTTTCAACGTGAGCATGATTTCAGGAGTTTTTTCTTGTGATGATTTGAAATTTGAATCTGCTCAAATGTGTTATTACTAATTGTGCAATACAGATATTATATCCCTAATTATCTAGACATCTAACTGCATGGACAACTTGACTTTAACAGACTAATCCACTTAATATAGTTTGTTGGAAATTATAAATTGTCACAAACTATCAGGTAATTCCTTTAAGACATTGAAGAAAAGATAAGACAACACGCAGTTTTATAAATATAAGATAATTCCCATAGTAATGAAAAGTCATGATTAATTTGAGATCTAACATTTGTGGACTTCTGAAGCTATGGAATAAATTTGTGTCTCCATCATCATTTTGGAGATGGACGGGAATACATTTTAGTTGCCAAATTAAGCATTCAACTATCAAAAAGTAAAGGTGTCACTGACTCACCAACCCGTATGAACAATATTGGATTATGGAGTATTTCAGTTTTGGAATTCAAGAAAAGGAGTGCTCAACCAATATATGGAGTTCTCTAAACAATATTGTTGTGATTTTCAAGAAAACACCATCTTCCTATGTAGTTTTCTAGTTCTCTCTCCCCACTCCATCCAGAAAACTCAGCCTTTGTTTGTTTCTTAAGTTGTCTCCCACTGTCTTTACTTTTTATGAAAACTGCTGCAGACCTTTGGGTTATTCTAAACCAGGGGTCCTCAAACTTTTTCAGCAGAGGGCTGGTTCACGTTCATGAGAAAAGCATGAACGAATTCTTATGTACACTGCACGTATCTTATTTGTAGTGGGAAAAAAAACCAACAAAAAAAAAACCCAAAAGAACAATACAATATTTCAAATGAAGAAGAATTTTAACCAACATAAACTTACAAGTATTCCAATGGGAAGTGTGGGCCTACTTTTGGGTCATGAGATAAGTTAATTAGGATTGTTGTTAATGTGTGCATTCAAATCATTTCAGACTTCGAACAAACCAAAGTATAAAGTTTAGGCCCGGGGCTGGGTAAATATCCTTGGAAGGCCGCACCTGGCCCATGGGACTTACTTTGGGGATCCCTTCTTTAAGCCTTCTGGCACTTCCCTCATATGTGGATAGTGCTGTTTTAGCAACACAAAGGCACATGCTTTGAGAAAAAAATGTATTATTAGTAACTCTGATAAAAGCCTTTTCTTCTTATTTGAAATGTTTGGAAAATATTTCAGAAATGATATGATAAGAGCACTATCTTTACCACACGGTAGTCAGTCCTTTGCTCTTGATTACTGTATATTTGCAAATATGAGTTTGTTTCATTCGCAGCATAGAACACAAAATACATTTAAATATCTGGCATTTATATAATGCTTGTATAAAGCATTTTAAATGCACTATACTATGTAACAAAATGTGAAAATAGTTATGATCCTAGTTTGAAAGTGCCATTTATGTTTAAATTGTGCAGCACTTACTTTGAAAGTATTTATACTCCAGAAGCTCTTTTTGTGGCTGCCCCCAAACTATGTTGAATCGGTTGAGACTCAATGAGATATTTATTGAAAAACTAGAGCAAAATATCCTGCAAAGGTAAAGGTTTTGCAGTTTAATAAACTTTTTCCGTGTTTTATGATATATCTAATTAGGAAATGATATTTAGAACCCAGAAACGAAAAGTGTGTTACAGTTTTATTATAAGAATATTGAACGTTTGCACACTCAATGTAAAAGTTAAAACTTAGTAAATTGTTGGAAAAATGTAAGTCAACTTTCCAAAATATAATCTATTCCTAGAATAGTTTAAAAACACTTCCTACTTAATTATGATCAATGTAATGCAGTTAGTTTATTATTTTTATACATAAATGTTTTGAGTAGTACAATATGGTTTTGAGTTACAACTAGTTTCTTTCTTATGATAACACCTGTATAGACCTTTAGAAATTTGAAGAACCATTCTGCATATAGAACAGTGGTTCTCAACAATTCCTATTGCCACGACCCCTTAATAGAGTTCCTCATGTTGTGGTGACCCCCAACCATAAAGTCATTTTCATTTCTACTTCATAACTGTCATTTTGCTACTGATATCAATTGTAATGTAAATATCTGATGTATTTTCATTTACTGGACCAAATTTGGCACAAATACTCAGTACACCCAAGTTTGAATACTGGTGGGGTTGGTGGGGATTGATTTTGTCATTTGGGAGTTGAAGTTGCTGGGATTTATAGTTCACTTACAATCAAAGAGGCTTCTGAACTCCACCAATGATGGAATTGAACCAAACTTGGCACACAGAACTCCCATGACCAACAGAAAACGCTGGAGGGTTTGGTGGGCATTGACCTTGAGTTTTGGAGTTGTAGTTCACCTCCATCCAGAGAGCACTGTGGACTCAAACAGTGATGGATCTGGATCAAACTTGGCACAGATACTTAATCTTCCCAAATGTGGACACTGGTGGAGTTTGGGCAAGATAAGCATTGACATTTGTTCGTTGTAGTTACTGGGATGTATAGTTCACCTACAATTGAAGAGCATTCTGAACCCCACCAAACTTCCCATACTGTGTTTTTTGATGGTCTTTTGCGACCCTTATAACACCCCCTCGCGACTCCTCCAGGGGTCCCGACCTCCAGGTTGAGAAACACTGATATAGATTGTGATTTACGTGTAATATTGTGTATTATGTTTTTTATGGTTTTAATTGTATACTGTGCACTGTATATTTTGTTGTAAACCGCGTTGAGTCGCCTGTTAGGCTGAGAAACGGCGGTATACAAGGACAGTAAATAAATAAATAAATAAATAAATAAATAAATAGAAGAAGCAATGCATTCAGAAATACAATTTAACTCCTATAACATGCAGACTCATACTTCCCACACAGCAATGCTCATTTCAATTCCTGGAATTCTTCATGACATAACAAGTACACTATCATTAGACACGTGTCTTCATAAATAATAAAATTAATTGTACATGTAAGTTTATATAATTAAGTGGTATTTCTAGCACTGGCATTTTGTAGTTGTAATTTAGGAAATTGTTACCTTAATTTTTTCTTAAATGGATGGTTGGATATCTGAGGACCTTGACTTCAGATATTAATACCCTCGGCAATTTACATTTCACACAGCTAGGGTAACTTTTGGAGTTTTTAGGACTGTGCTACTCTCTTCCTAACCAGTAGTGATGAATTATAATGATATAGAAGGACATTTTGCCCATTAAGAGTTGCATTTGCTTGTCACACTAAATTACAGCTTAAGTCAATTTACACATCGTACCAAATAAGTATCAAGCTTTGCAGTGGGAATCAGGATGTCTCTAATCCAGTTAAATTCCAGTTCGACGCAACTCTTAACCAACTTGGCCAATATGCAGGAATGCTGGGACTTCCAGCAGCATTTAGCAGTCTGCATAATTTCAGTCCCTTAAGTATATATACTCTTCCTCCTAAACAGTAAGGAGTAATTCAGGAGTAATTCAGAAAAATTTACTGTTGTGTGTTGTCTCCACTGACAAATCTGTCAGTTCAGACACCTTTAAACTATAGATGCAGCCGTTTCAGTAAGTTGTAGTTAATTTAAAGCAGAAATAGATTCTCCTGAACTGAATTCAGGAAGAGTGACTGTGAGTTTTATTGTGTTAATTTATGTTGTACTATACTGTGACTTAGACCATACAGGCAGTCCCTGAGTTACAAACATCCCAACCTACAGACAACTCCTAGTTAAGAATGGGATTGAGATAGCAGGAAGGAGAGAAATCTGCCCCTAGGAAAGGAATTTCACTCCTGAA